GGTTTGTTGTTGTTGTTGTTTATTTTTTTTCTACCTTTTTTTTTTAGAGACGGGGTCTCCCTATATTGACCAGGCTGGAGTGCAGTGGCTTTTCACAGGCACAATCCAACTACTGATCAGCACGGGAATTTTGACCTTCTCCGTTTCCGACTTGGGCCGGTTCACCCCTCCTTAGGCAACCCGGTGGTTCCCCGATCCCAAGAGGTCACCATATTGATGCCGAACTTAGTGTGGACACCTGATCCGCATAGTGAACTACAGGCCAGAATTCTTGGGCTCAAGTGATCCTCCAGCCTCAGCCTCCCGATTAGCTGGGACTACAGACACGCACCACTGCACCTGGCTTATTTTTATTTTTCTTTTGAGACGGAGTCTCACTCTGCTGCCCAGGCTGGAGTGCAGTGGTCCGATCTCGGCTCACTTTACCTCCGCCTCCCGAATTCAAGTGATTCTCCTGCCTCGGCCTCCCACGTAGCTGGGATTACAGGTGTACACCACCACACCTGGCTAATTTTAGTATTTTTCTTTTTAGTAGAGATAGGGTTTCACCATGTTGGCTAGAGTGGTCTTGAACTCCTGACCTCAGGTGATCCACTGATCCACTGGATTATGTGATCTGCTGGGATTACAGTTGTGAGCCACTGCCCCCAGCCACATTTTATAATTTTTCTATGAGGGCATGTGTTGGTTGTATAATAAATAGATAAATTATTTATTTCTTTTTTAGACAGGATCTCGCTGTGCCATCCATGCTAAGGTGCAGTGATGCCACAATGACTCACTGCAGCTTCAAACTCCTGGGCTCAAGTGATCCTCCTGCCTCAGCCTCCCAACTATCTGGGACAACAGGTATGTGTCATGATGCCCAGATGATTTTTTTTTTTTTTGTAGAAAGAGTCTCACTGTGTTGCTGTCTGGTCTAAAACTCCAGGCCTCAAGTGATCCTCCCACCTTGGCCTCCCAAAGTGCAGAGATTACAGACAGGAACCACTGCCAGGCCTACATGTTATTATCTTTTTTATTTTTTTATAGAAATGGGGTCTTACTGTGTTGACCAGGCTGGTCTTGTTCTCCTGGCCTCAAGCAATCCTCCCACAGCACTGGGATTACAGGCGTGAGCCACCATGCCCAGCCTTTTTTTCTTGAAACATGTTATTCTTTCAAAGGCTTTTGAACAATTCAGAGAACAGTTGATCAGGGTCCGAACCCAAAGTGGGTTAATGTCACAGAGGTGTGAAGAAAAGGGGACCAATTTGTCTAATGGATAGGCGGGACTTGGAAACACTTGTGGGAAGGAGGGTTGGAGCAGTTCAGAATTTTAACTAAGGCCATAGAGATGCTCAGCCTGGGGAGAGATGCAGGAGGAAGGCAGTCGTGGAGTGCTCAGGGGTACCATGATCCCTGTCCTTTGCTTATTTTATTTTATTTATTTATTTTTGAGATGGAGTTTCACTCTTTTACTCAGGCTGGAGTTCAGTAGTGCAATCTCAGCTCACTGCAACCTCCGCCTCCTGTATTCAAGCAATTCTCCTGCCTCAGCCTCCAGAGTAGTTGGGATTACAAGCACGCCCCACCACACCCAGCTAATTTTTGTATTTTTAGTAGAGATGGGGTTTCACCGTGTTGGCCAGGCAGGTCTCAAACTCCTGACCTCAAGTGATCTTCCCACCTCGGCCTCCCAAAGTGCTGGGATTACAGGTGTGAGCCACCTCACCTGGCCTCCCTTTTTTCTTTTTCTTTCTTTTGTTTTTGAGATGGAGTTTCGCTCTTGTTGCCCAGGCTGGAGTGCAATGGTGCAATTTCAGCTCACTGCAACCTCCGCCTCCAGGATTCAAGTGATTCTTGTCTCAGCCTCCCGAGTAGTTGAGATTACAGACACCTGCTACCACGCCCAGCTAATTGTTGGCATTTTTAGTAGAGACGGGGTTTCACCACGTTGGCCAGGCTGGTCTCAAACTCCTGACCTCAGGTGATCCACATGCCTCAGCCTCCCAAAATGCTGGGATTACAGGCATGAGCTACTGCATCAAGCATTTTTTGAGTTTTGAGATGCAATTTCAGTCTTGTTGCCTAGGCTGGAGTGCAATGGCACGATCTCTGTTCACTGCAACCTCCGCCTCCTGGGTTCAAGGGACTACAGGCACATGCCACCACACCCGACTAATTTTTGCATTTTTAGTATAGATGGGGTTTCATCATCTTGGCCAGGCTAGTCTCAGACTCCTGACCTCAGGTGATCTGCCTGCTTTGGCCTCCCAAAATGCTGGGATTACAGGCATGAGCCACCATGCCAAGCCCCCTTTGCTTATGTCTAAGTAGTCTGCTCCCTGCACTTTTAGCACAAGTGCTGTGTGTTACACTTGCTTGTGGCTGTCTCTCTCCTGAGAGGGTCACTTGATTCACTGTGTCCAGATTCTTAACAGTCCCTAGATCTGAGCTGTGGCATCACCACGCTCCTCAGGTCATGTGATGGTATTAAGTAGCACATGTATGAGCTCATCTCCTATGCTACGTGCTGTACTAAGAGCTTTATGTACATTAACCCATATAGAGGTAGATTTTTTTTTTTAATAGAGACGGTTTTACTATCTTGGCCAGGCTGGTCTTGAACCCCTGGCCTCGTGATCCACCCTCCTCGGCCTCCCAAAGTGCTGGGATTACAGGCCTGAGCCATCGTGCCCGGCCCCTATGAGGTAGATTTAAAAAAACATTTTTTTTTTTGAGATGGAGTCTCACTCTGTGGCCCAGGCTGGAGGGCAGTGGTACAATCTTGTCTCACTGCCACTTCCACTTCAAGCAATTCTCCTGCCTCAGTCTCCCAAGTAGCTGGGATTACAGGCACACCACTGCACCTGGCTGATTTTTGTATTTTTAGTAGAGACAGGGTTTCACCATGTTGGCCAGGCTGTTCTTGAACTCCGATCTCCAGTGATCCACCCGCCTCGGCCTCCCAAAGTGCTGGGATTATAGGCGTGAGCCACTGCACCTGTTCTGAGGTAGATTTGTTTGTCTGAGACAGGGTCTTGCTCTGTTGCCCAGGCCAGAGTGCAGCAGCACAATCTCGGCTCACTGCAACCTCCGCCTCCTGGGTTCAAGCAGTTCTCCTGCCTCAGACTCTCAAGTAGCTAAGATTACAGGCATGTGCCACCATGCCTGGCTAATTTTTGTATTTTTAGTAGAGACAGGGTCTCCCCATGTTGGTCAGGCTGGTCTTGAACTCCTGGCCTCAAGTGATCCGCCCGCCTCAGTCTCCAAAAGTGTTGGGATTTCAGGCATGAGCCACTGCACCCAGCCAGTCGCAGGGGATTTAAAGAAGGGACAATGACCCTGCCTAGAGTAGGTGGGGAGATTGCATAGAGGCAGAGCCCTTTGAATGAAACACTTGAAGGATGAGTAAGAGTTCACCTGATTTAGAAACAGGAAAAGCTCAATGAGTAGACAGCCAAGGATGTTTGGATGAATGAGAGATGGGTTGATGAGGCCAGCTGAGGGAGGCTTTGGTGTTCAGGCCAGAATTCAGACTTGACTCAGTCACTGGGGCGTTCCTGAAGGATTCTGAGCAGCAGAGTTCCTTGGCCGGGATTCTGAAGGAAAATCTCTCCAGCAGCGATGTTCAAAGATGTGGTAGAGGCCGGGCGCGGTGGCTCAAGCCTGTAATCCCAGCACTTTGGGAGGCTGAGGCGGGTGGATCACGAGGTCAAGAGATCGAGACCATCCTGGTCAACATGGTGAAACCCCGTCTCTACTGAAACTACAAAAAATTAGCTGGGCATGGTGGTGCGTGCCTGTAATCCCAGCTACTCAGGAAGCTGAGGCAGGAGAATTGCCTGGACCCAGGAGGCGGAGGTTGCGGTGAGCCGAGATGGCGCCATTGCACTCCAGCCTGGGTAACAAGAGTGAAACTCCGTCTCAAAAAAAAAAAAAAAAAAAAAGATGTGGTAGAGTCCTCTGATGAATCCATTCCCTGAGCTGGAAAATGGATGGCCTCACCCACCCCCAATCTCATCGTGGCTTCTGGTCCACTTAAACCATGAGAACATTTTTTTTTCTTTTTTTGAAACAGGGTCTTGCTGTGCTGCCCAGACTGGTGTGTAGTGGTGCGATCACAGCTCACTGCAGCCTTAATCTTCTGGGCTCATGCAATCCTCCCACCTCAGCCTCCCTAGTAGCTGGGACTACAGGGTTACATCATCATACCTGGCTAATTTTTTTTTTTTTTTGAGATGGAGTTTCACTCTTGTTGCCCAGGCTGGAGTGCAATGGTGCGATCTTGGCTCACCACAACCTCCGCCTCCTGGGTTCAAGGGATTTTCCTGCTTCTGCCTCCAGAGTAGCTGGGATTACAGGCATGCACCACCACATCCAGCTAATTTTGTATTTTCAGTAGAGATGGGGTTTCTCCATGTTGATCAGGCTGTCTTGAACTCCTGAACTCTCGACCTCAAGTTATCCACCCACCTTGGCCTCCCAAAATTCTGCGATTACAGGAGTGAGCCACCACACCCGGCATGCCTGGCTAATTTTTTAAATTTTTTGTAGAGATGGTTGGGGGGCGTGTCCCTCTGTTGCTCAGGCTAGTCTGAGCTCCTTGGCTCAAGCAGTCCTCCCACCTCTGCCTCCTAAAGTGCTGAGATGACAGGCGTGAGCCACCTTGCCCGGCCTGGGAACCGTTTTTTAACCAGCTCATCCAAACCTTCATCTCACCGGCACGGTGGCTCAGGCCTGTCATCCCAGCCCTTTGGGAGGCTGAGGCGGGCAGATCACTTGAGGTCAGGAGTTCCAGACCAGCCTGGCCAACATGGCAAAACCCCGTCTCTACTAAAAATACAATTCGCCGGATGTAGTGCTGAGTACCTGTAATCCCAGCAACTCAGGAGGCTGAGGCAGGAGAAGCACTTGAACCCGGGAGGCGGAGGTTGCAGTGAGCCAAGATCACACCACTGCACTCCAGCCTGGGCAACAGAGTGAGACTCCATCTCAAAAAAAAAAAAAACCTCCTTCATCTCACCTGCTAACAAAGGCAGTGTGCTTTCTTCCTGTCTGCACATACCCCATGTCTCATCACCATGAGGGGCTGCAGTGGGACTTGGAATCCAGATGTTTGAAGAATGGAGGGGTTGAAGGTGCATGGAGGGATGAAGGGACAAGGGGTCCAGGAGGTGGTAACCCCAGGTTTCTTGGCCTTGGCCTTCCCTACCTCTCTGAGACTGAGCCAGCTTGAGCATCTCAGCTGCCTCTTCTGCCCGCCCCCTTGTTAGCCGCAGTCAACTTCCTGCCCCACCATAGGAAGTGGGGCAAGACGGCAGGTGCAGTGACGGCTGGCGGAGCCATGGTGAGTCCTTAAGCCCAGAAACCTGGGCATCTTGGCCCCCACTCCCCTATGCCCAGGGTCACAGACCCTGCTGACTCTTCCTACCCCAAGAGCTCAAGTGATCTTGGGGGACTCTGCCTGCCATTGCCAACAGCTTCATATTTTCTACCCCCATCCACAGGACAAGGAGTACGTGGGTTTTGCTGCCCTCCCCAACCAGCTGCACCGCAAGTCTGTCAAGAAGGGGTTTGACTTCACACTCATGGTGGCAGGTCTGGGGGTCTTGAACTGTGGAGGGGATGTCCTTAAGGAGACCCTGACTGTCCTCTCCCCTGACCAATTGGGCCTGTTCTGTCCACAGGAGAATCAGGCCTAGGGAAATCTACCCTCATCAACAGCCTGTTCCTCACCAACCTCTATGAGGATCGCCAGGTGCCAGAGGCTAGTGGTAAGACCCTCACTACCCTCTCCAGGCAGTAGCCTCTGTCCCCATCCCCTGTCCCTGGGTTACATCCTAGTCTTTTCCATCTGGGGACTCGGGTAACTGACTTTTTTTCTGAGACCTTCCTCCCCTGGAAAATGGGCGCAGGCAACTGTGAAATTGACAAAGGAAATTGATCCTGCCTCAGAGCCTCCCTGGATCCCTGACCTGTCTCCCATCCCAAAGCTCGCTTGTCACAGACTCTGACCATTGAGCGCCGGGGTGTGGAGATCGAGGAGAGGGGTGTGAAGGTGAAGCTGACCCTGGTGGACACACCTGGCTTTGGGGACTCGGTGGACTGCTCTGACTGGTGAGGAGGGGAGGGGACAGAGGCTCAGCCTTTCACAGTGGTGACTCCCTGGAGACCAAGGGGTCAGTTATAGGGCTGGCTTGTTCTGGTTCCCTATCCCAAAAGGTGGTATCTGTTTTGGAGGGCCACTGGGTCCCTGTGCTTCTTGAGGACTCACATAGGCCCCACCAGTTCCCTTTAATGTCTTTGGATGAAGCCAAACAAATGATGTTTTACTCTCACAGTCCTGGCTAGCCTCACCCCCTGCCCTCTGGCCTTTGATCTCTGACTTCACATCCTCTCCCAACACCCAGCTGGCTTCCTGTGGTGAAATTCATCGAGGAGCAATTTGAGCAGTACCTTAGGGATGAGAGTGGCCTGAACAGGAAGAACATCCAGGACTCCCGAGTCCACTGCTGCCTCTACTTCATCTCACCCTTCGGCCGGGGGTCTGGTGGGGGAATCCTGGGGGCTGGGGCATTTAGGGAGGGCTTGGGGCTGGGGGCCTTTGTGCCCTGAGGCTGGGCACTGACCAATCCCTGGGTGCAGGCTCCGGCCCCTAGATGTGGCCTTCCTCCGGGCAGTACATGAGAAAGTCAACATCATCCCAGTCATTGGCAAAGCGGATGCCCTGCTGCCCCAGGAAACCCAAGCCCTCAAGCAGAAGGTGTGAGTAATGACCTCTGACCTTTAACCCCAAATGAGGCCAAAAGTCACCACCAAACATAACTTGATTTCAGCTTAGACGTCTTTGATCTTGGAGTGGCCTTTTTGGAGCATGGTGTGTCAGGCTAGACTGTAGACGCTTCTGAGGAAGGCAGATGGTAAGCTGCCAGTGTAGCCATGTCTCCAAAGGCTCAAAATAGGCGAGACATGCAGCCTCTGGGCTAGATGCTTGGCTAAGGCCTATTTGAGGGCAGGAGCATAGACACGAGGACATAGTGACTTCCCTCTGGCCCCTACCTTGTGTCTTCAGCACACTTTCCTACAGTTTCTGCTTATGTCTCTCTTGGCCTCTGTCTTTTTTGTTTGTTTTTTGGAGATAGAGTCTCACTTTGTGGCTCAGGCTGGAGTACGGTGGCATACCACTGCAGCTTCAAACTTGTAGGCTCAAGTGATCCTTCTGCCTCAGCCTCTTTGAGTAGCAGGGATTACAGATTTGCGCCACCATGCCTGGCTAACTTAAAAAATATTTTTTTGGCTGGGCATGGTGGCACACACCTGTAATCTCGGCACTTTGAAAGGCTGAGGTTGGAGGATTGCTTGAGCTGAAAAGTTCAAGATCAGCCTGGGCAACATGGCAGAACCCCATTTCTACAAAAAGTACAAAAATTAGTCAGGTGTGGTGATGTGCACCTGTAGTCCCAGCCACTCGGGAGGCTGAGATGGGAGGATCACTTGAGCCTGGGAGATTGAGGCTGCAATGAACCAAGTTGGAGCCACTACACTCCAGCCTGGGTGAGAGTGAAACCTTGTTTCAAAAAATATACTTTTTTTTTTTTTTTTTTTTGGAGACGGAGTTTCACTCTTGTTACCCAGGCTGGACTGCAATGGCGTGATCTCGGCTCACCGCAACCTCCGCCTCCCGGGTTCAGGCAATTCTCCTGCCCCAGCCTCCTGAGTTGCTGGGATTACAGGCATGCGCCACCATGCCCAGCTAATTTTTTTTTTTTTTTTGTATTTAGATGGGATCTAGCTATATTTCCCAGGCTTCTGATCTCTTAATGTCTGCCCCATCTTAGAATCTTGTTTCTCACCGTCTCTCTGAGGTTTTTATTTTGGCCTTCCTGTACGTCCATCTCCCCATCTGTGTCTTTTATGTCTTTCTCTCTATCTCTGACCACCCAGTATCTCTGTGTCTCACTGTCTCTGGCCATGCAATGTTTGTCATTGTGGCCTGTTTCACACTGTCTCTGTATGTTTCCCGAGATCCGGGATCAGCTGAAGGAGGAGGAGATCCACATCTACCAGTTCCCTGAATGTGACTCTGACGAAGATGAAGACTTCAAGAGGCAGGATGCGGAGATGAAGGTGTGGGAGACAAAGAAGGAAGGGGGTACGGGGTGTGGTGGCTCACGCCTGTAATCCTGGCACTCTGGAGGCTGAGGCGGGCAGATCCTTTGAGGTCAGGAGTTCTAGACCAGCCTGGGCAACATGTTGAGACTTCTGCCTCTACTAAAAATACAGATATTATCGCGGCATAATGGCGGGTGCCTATAATTCCAGCTATTCGGGAGGCTGAGGCAGGAGAATCACTTGAACACTCCAGCCTGGGCAATGGATCAAGACCCTGTCTCAAAAAAAAGAAAAGAAAAGAAAAAGTAAAAAAAAAAAAAAAAAAAAGAGGAAGGGGTGAGAAGCAGAGGAGGCGGGTGTGGAGGTTGAAGCTGGGAAAGAGTTTCTGCCATGTGGGCCAGGAGTGACCCCTGCCCCCTGCCCTCTAGGAAAGCATCCCTTTTGCAGTTGTGGGTTCCTGCGAGGTGGTGAGGGATGGCAGGAACCGACCAGTGAGGGGACGCCGATACTCTTGGGGGACCGTGGAGGGTGAGTGAGGACAAGCAGGGGTCCTGTGGCAGGAGGGAGCTCGGGGCTTCTGGGTCAGCCGCACTCAACATGTGAGGTTGGGGTGGATCCTAGGAGGAAAGGGGGGTCGTTGGGCTGCAGATTGTGGACCCTCCGATAGAGTGGCAGAAGGACCTCCTTGTAGACCCGACCCTGCGGGTGGGTTGGACTTGAAACTCCCTGATGTTCACTGCTCCGCCGCCCCCTTCCCCCCTCCAACCTCCCAGTGGAGAACCCACATCACTGCGATTTCCTGAACCTGCGACGAATGCTGGTGCAGACACACCTGCAGGACCTGAAAGAGGTGACGCACGATCTGCTTTACGAGGGCTACCGGGCCCGTTGCCTACAGAGCCTGGCCCGGCCTGGGGCTCGCGATCGAGCCAGCCGCAGGTGAGAGCCGGGGCCGACAGTCGGAGCCTCCAAGGTCCCGCCTCACCCATGACCCGGTCCTCACCACCCGTGACCCCGCCTGCACCACTCAGACCTCTCACTCTCCACCCCCTTTGCCTTCGGCCCTAACCTCAGGGACCTGGCTCCGCATCCTAGACCCCAACCTCGCCCCAGGCCCTGCCTCCTGGGTCTCACTCATAACCTCAGGCCCGGTTCCTGATTCCTGTCCCCTTCCCACTGCCCCGCAGTAAGCTTTCCCGCCAGAGCGCCACGGAGATTCCGCTGCCCATGATGCCTCTGGCGGACACCGAGAAGCTGATCCGCGAGAAAGACGAAGAGGTGAGCACGCACCTCGCTTCTCCCCGACCGAGGCCCCAGGTCCCTTTCTGGCCTCGCCGGGTCACCGCCTGCAATCTCGCCCCGCACAGCTGCGCCGCATGCAAGAGATGCTGGAGAAGATGCAGGCCCAGATGCAGCAGAGCCAAGCCCAGGGTGAGCAGTCAGACGCCCTCTGAGGCCACGCCCCGCCCGGCCTTACCTCGGTTCCGCCTTCAGTCGGCCTCTTGTCCAATCCCTGCGCCCCACACTGCCCAGCGCCTAATCCCGGACCCCCCGCGGGTGCCGCCCTCGCTCTGGCTCGGGGGAGGTTCTCCCAGCCCGGGTCAGAAGCCCCGCCCCTGCCCCGCCCAGCCAGACCCCGCCCACTTCCCGGCCAGAGCCTGCGGCCCAGGCTCGGACTGCCGCACTGTCTTTCGGGGTCGCCGCTATTCTCCCAGGCTCTGTCTTCAATAAAAACTGAGCTTCCCGCACCCACGCGAGACTTCTCTTTCCTTGCGGAAACAGGCGGCAGCCGTAGATTGTAGGGCCGCCCCCCCGCAGGCCTCCAGGCCGCATCCCTCCATTTGTGAGGCGCTCCCTTAGGCGTGGGCCGCGTCTGGGCCCAGCCTCCCACCTGAGGCTCTCGCGCAAACACACTGAAGGCGTTGCCGATAAGAAAGAAAGACCAGTTGAATTTTATTGGGAGCCGGACGGGGGTCGGGCCGGCCGGAAGCGGCGGCCAGGGAGGCCCGCGGGGGCCCCTACTCCTGGTCCTTGGCGTCGCCGTGCGTGATGACGTAGCAGATGTTCTTGTAGTCAACGTTGCCGCCCACGTCGGGCGGGAAGGCAGCCCACATGTTCCTGATCTGCGGGAAGACGCAGGGGCGTCTCGCACCGGCCCTTAGGCTCCCCGGCCCCTCCTCCTTAACTTCTCCAGCCCCGCCCCTACTCACCTCCTCCTGGGAGAAGCGGTCACACTGTGTGGTCAGCAGCTCCTCCAGGCTGGAGAGAGGTGACACACGGGGAGTTGCGATTGGGTTCCTGATTCCTTTCCACTCCCTCGCACCTCATGCCCGTTGCCAGCCCCAGCCTCCCAAAAACCGGGTCACTCTACTTCCTCTTTGGCCTTCTAGAGGCTCGCTTTTGCCCTCTCCGCCCACATTTGCTGTGGAAATGCAATCTTACCGCCCATTACCACAATCCTAACTACTCCGTTACCTCTGACAGTGCCTAACCCTTCGTAGGAATTTTTGTTTCTTTGTTTTGAGACAGGGTCTTGCCCTGTCGCCCAGGCCGGAGTGCAGTGGTTTGATCATAGCTCACTGCAACCTGGAACTCTGGGGCTCAAGGGATCTAACTGCTTCAGCCTCCGGAGTAGCTGAGACTACAGGTGTTTGCCACCAAGCTCGCGATTTTTTTTTTTTTTTTTTTTTTTGATACAGAGTTTCACTATTGTCTCCCAGGCTAGAGGGCAGTGGCTTGATTTCCGCTCACTGCAACCTCCGCCTCCAGGATTCAAGCGATTCTCATGTCTCAGCCTCCGGAGTAGCTGGGACTACAGGCGCCTGCTACCATGCCCAGCTAATTTTTATATTTTTAGTAGAGACTGGGTTTCACCGTGTTGGCCACGCTGGTCTTGAACTCCTGACCTCACGTGATCTGCCCGTCTTGGCCTTGCAAAGTGCTGGGATTACAGAAACAAGCCACTGCACCTGGCCAGCCCGCGAATTTTTAAATTAAGTTTTTAGAAACAGGGTCATGCTATGTTGCCCAGGCTGGTCTCAAACTCCTGGCCTCAAGCCAATCCTCCTGCCTCTGCCTTCCAAAATACTGAGCCACAGCGCCCAGCCTTGGTAGGAACTTAAAGGAGGCTTTCAGTGTGGGAGCAGCTGGTGGAGTGAGGGGAAGGGGAAAAAGGGTTGGGGGACCAATGCTCACAACTGCTTCTTGATGGTGCCCTTTCCCTCAGGGTCCAGGACCTTGAAGGCTCCAGTGATCACATCCTCAGGGTCAGCACCTGTGGGGGTCAGAGGGCACATGAAGCTGATGGGTCCCTGAAGGGTCTGGGGAAAAGGCAACTGGGGCCTTAGACACAGAACACTCCACTCACCCTTGAGCTTCTCCCCGAACATGGTCAGGAAGACGGTGAAGTTGATGGGACCGCTGGCTTCCTTCATCATGGCATCTATCTCCTCATTCTTCACATTGAGGCGGCCTGGTGGGGGAAGTACAGGCTGGAGCAGGCTTCTGAGGCCAGGGCTGTGCTTCCTACTAATTCAGATGATCCCATCCATTTTTTCAGCTGGGTAGACTGAGGCCCAAGGTGGAGCTGACAGGGCTGGAACCCAAGGCCACTGAATTTCCTCGACTCTGCAGCCTTGAATATTCCCACCTGGGGTAGTGGGCTCACCCATGGCCGCGAAGGTGTCCCGAAGGTCCTCCTTGTCAATGATGCCATCACGGTTCTGGTCAATCACGGTGAAGGCCTGGGCAGGGCCAGGATGGGGAGGGTTAGGTCCCCCATGGCCCAACCTCAGCATCCCTGCCCCAGGCGGATCAGATGCTGGCTCCCAGCCAGCTGTCCTCTTCTACCCCAAGCAGGGAGGGGAGGAAGGAATTCTAAACCTTTCCCCTCCTTCAAACAGGTGCACATTCCAGGGAGAGGGCGGGGGAGAGGTCTGTATTTGGTCAGCCTTTCAGTTTCCCCTGTCCCCTCACTCACCTCCTTGAACTCCTGGATCTGAGTCTGGTCAAACATGGAGAAGACACTGGAGCTTCCGCCCTCTACTGCCCTTCTCTTGGCTTTCTTGGGTGCCTGGAGGGTGAGGGTTGAATAAAGGGGCCCATGGACCAGTCCCTCCACTTCTTTGGGGGCAATGGATTAGATTCAGAATTCTTTGAGTCCTGGTTTCTAAAGCAACTCTTTGGCCTGAGTCTCCCCGTCCTTGGGACCTCTTTGCTGAGGGGACCTGCTTTGATTGCATTCCCCAAATTCCCATCTGTGGCTCCTGGGCCTCTATCTCTTCATCCCCCACAATGAATGGAAGCTTCCTTCTCTTCTCAGTGGCCTGAGCCAGGTTCCTCTGAGCCCCAGACTTGCTGTGTGACCCCAACCACTCATTCGCCCTGTTTGAGCCTCTACTTTCTTTTCCTTCCTTCCTTCCTTCTTCCTTCCTTCCTTCCTCTTTCTTTTTTCTTTCTTTTCTCTTTCTTTCGTTCTTTTTCTCTTTCTTTCTTTCTTTCTTTTCTTTCTTTCATCTTGTCTTTCTGTTGTTTTTGTTTTTTTTTGAGAGTCTCGCTCTGTCGCCCAGGCTGGTGTGCAGTGTTTCGATCTCGGCTTATTGCAACCTCTGCCTCCCGGGTTCAAGCAATTCTAACACCCTCAGCCTCTGGAGTAGCTGGGATTACAGGCATGCATCACCATACCTGGCTAATTTTTATATTTTTAGTAGAGACAGGGTTTTGCCATGTTGGCCAGGCTGATCTTAAACTCTTGGCTTCAAATGATCTGCCCACCTCAGCCTTCCAAAGTGTTGGTATTACAGGCATGAGCCACAGCACCTGGCCTGAACTTCTACTTTCTCATTTGTAAAATGGGATAGGAGTTATTGCCTGCGTGGTGCCAGAGGGCTTTAGGAAGATGGAGTGCAGGAACGATGGAAGAGGTTTTGAAAGGGACTGGGCCCCTGTGAGTCGAATGTCTGGGCGGATTATCATTGATTGGATCCTTTAGGCTATTACACATTCTATTTTCCATCAGTGATGCCAAGAAAGAGATGACCATCCTTTTAACTTTTTGTTGGACTGGGAACCGGCTACTTTCTTTCAAAGGGTGAGGCTGCCCTGAGGTCTAAGGGATTTGGGCAGGGGTTGGAGGATTGTCACTCACCATGTCTTCAGTCTCCGGGGGGCAAGGCAGCGGCTCTGGTGGGAAAGAAGCAGGGAGTCAGCATGGAGCAGTCCCTCTGGGGTTATATAGTCCTGCTCCAGGGAGCCCTTAACATACCAAGGTAACCTTAGCCCTGTGGGTACCCACCCCAGATACCAAAATAGCCCAGCTCAGGGCGTCTCCTTTCTTGGAGGGCCTGCAACAGCTGGAGCCCAGGGGGAGCGGGGGGGGAAGCAGGTCTTGGGATGCATGTCTCACTAGGGCCTGGGCAAGAAGGGATATTCTTTCTCCCAAAGAGGGGCTGGAATGTGCCAGAGTTTAGGGTGGACCCGACCCAAGGCAGTGTTCTGGGAGAGAGATGAACCAGATCCTATACTCCTGTGTGGGGTTGGGGGGACTCAGATTTAAACCCAGTAAACTTCTGGGTGCAGTGGTTTACACCTGTAATTCCAGCACTTTGGGAGGCTGAGGCGAGTGGATTGCCTGAGGCCAGAAGTTCAGGACCAGCCTGGCCAACAGTGAGACCCCGTCTCTATTTTTTTTTCTTTTTTTTTTTTGAGACATAGTCTCGCTCTGTCGCCCAGGCTGGAGTGCAGTGGTGCAATCTCAGTTCACTGCAACCTCCGCCTCCCAGGTTCAAACATTTCTCTTGCCTCAGCCTCCCACATAGCTGGGATTACAGATTACAGGTGCGCACCATCACGCTCTGCCAATTTTTGTTGATTTTTAGTAGAGACCAGGTTTCACTGTGTTGACCGGGGTGGTCTCGATCTTCTGACCTCATGATTCACCCACTTTGGCCTCCCAAAGTGCTGGGATTACAGGCGTGAGCCACCATGCCTGTTCCCCTGTCTCTATTTTATTTATTTATTTGAGATGGAATTTCACTCTTGTTGCCCAGGCTGGAGTGCAATGGCACGATCTCGGCTCACCACAACTTCTGCCTCCTGGGTTTAAGCGATTCTCCTGCATCAGCCTCCAGGGTAACTGAGATCACAGGCATGTGCCACCACACCGAGCTAATTTTGTATTTTTGGTAGAAATGGGGTTTCACCATGTTGTCCAGGCTGGTCTCAAACTCCTGACCTCTGGTGATCTGCCCTCCTCAGCCTCCCAAAGTGCTGGGATTACAGGCATGAGCCACTGCTCCTGGTCCTCTATTTTAAATTAATAAAATAAACCCAGTAAACACGTATTGTATGCACACAGCGTGCCACGTGCTAGGCCAGGCTTTGTGGGTACACTTTGGCAGACACAATCCCTCCACCACCCCATGGTGGACTTCATAGTCAAGTGTATGTAAATGTGGAGGTGGTGGGAAAGAGCCATCTGTGGAAGCTGGGGGATCAGCTACCTCCCTTCAAAGAGAGGGGAATTTTTGTTTTTTTGAGATGGAGTCTTGCTCATCGCCCAGGCTGGAGTGCAGTGGTGTGATCTCGGCCCAGTGCAACCTCTGCCTCCTGAGTTCAAGTGATTCTTCTGTCTCAGCCTTCCAAGTAGCTGGGATTACAGGCACATGCCACCACACCCGGCTAATTTTTTGTATTTTTAGTACAGATAAGATTTCACCATGTTGGCCAGGCTGGTCTTGAACTCCAGAC